ATTTCATTCTGTTTGATTCCAATCCATATTTGATCTGTATTTGCTCTCAATTCATACACATGAACATTTATGAAAGACCCTTCATCAATAGAAAATAATTTAAATATTAAAATGAACTAAAAATTAACATTTATTTTAGATTTTTTAAATAACAAAATATTCAGTTAAAGTATGATGAGAATATATACAATTAGAGAATTTTCTTACAGAAAAATTTATTAAGTCATCATTCAGAATACTATCTCATATAATAATTTAATAGTTAAAAAAGGAATGACTAATAATAATTTTAAAAATGATAAAATCAAATATGATCATTGATAAAAAAATAGTATTTCTATCAGTTTCCCTTACCACTAAAATTTGTTAATGTGATTGCTTTTGATCCTTGGATAAAGAATGACAAGAAGATACGTGTGTAATAGATCTGTATGTTGATAGCTAACATACAGAATATAGTAGAATGCTTGACTTATTCCTAATGTAAAAATCTGTCCAAATTACCAATCTCTGTACAACTGACTGTGATACCAAAGACACTTGATAGTTAATCATCAACCCAAAGAGTATCAAACATACAAATATCAAACTCTGACTTAGCAGAATTTATGTATATATGTCAACCCTCTGATTCCCCTGTGGATCAGAGGGCAACAGCTTTACTACACTAGGGTCACAGTCTCACTATAGGTGTTGCTGTTGTACTATCCATAGGAAGTAGGTTTTTATGGGGTGGAGTTGCTAGTCCTACATACAATTTTGAATTCACAGTTGTCTTTCTCTTAGACTAGTTGCCAGCCAAAGTTAGAGAACTCATTATGCCATGGTTTTAACCCCTAGCTGGGGAGAGAAAAGATGGATAGATACCTTTCCAAGGGCATTTGTGCAAAGGAGAATATGTTGGCCTTGCCGGGAATTTGAACATTATTCATCAATCCCACTGTCCGCATTGATGTCCACTGTGCTACAAACATATTCATAGAGTTTATGTAGAGACAAACATTTTTTGCTTTGGTTGGGTAGGTTACTTTAATGGCATATCAACCTATGAAGTGTTCTCTTTCATATTTTATCAGTCCACTGTAGTTGTTAATTTTGCATACTGAGAGCTACTCTACCTTTACTGCTTTGGCTATTTATATAGTTTATGCCTCTCCAAAGGAGGCATGGTGGAGTTGAGGAGGCATGATGGAGTAATGGATAGCCACACAGATTGAGGAATCAGAGAGCTGAGTTTGAATTCCATTAGGATCCGTTACTTTCACTTACATGCTAATACCTTTGGGAAAGGTATGAATCCTCTTCTTCTCCCTCCAGCTATGGGTAAATAGCAGGACAGACTGGGTTCTATAGCATTGGGTGGCAACTGATCTAGGAGAAGGAAACCTCAGAATTCAAAACTGGCCCGGAGGCAAAACTTGATGGGCAGATAGGGGCTCTGGAGTCTTGCGAGGCAACGTTACCTTGCACATCGCTTATCTTGTGGCAGTCTTTGCACCAGAAAACAGATGGTGGGCATTGGACAAGTGAGTGGAACTGGCAATGCACACACCTTTCTCACTTAAATAAATTTCAGGTGCAGGCCATTTTATGACATTAGATGAATCTTCTACTCTTACGAAAGGACTCATCGGTAATTTGTCGATGGAACACTCATGCATTGGCTCACGACATGAGAATCCATGCAAATCCCTCCACGCCTTAGCTTTGCTAATTAGGCAGTCATTTACATATCACTACAGTTACGTCATTTAATGTGGATACGTCAGCCGTACTGGGAAAAAACGACAATGAGTTAATATATAGGCAGATATACGCTTGCGCCAAGTTTATATCTGCACATGCAAGTATCCATGCAGACATTTTGTGGTGAAGGGGGGAGCTTACTCCTCATCAGGAGAAGCAATTGGTATATTCTAAGCCATAAAAATTGGGGTATAGAAACATTTTGAAAAGACCTATTTACAAATTGTATTATGCAAATGAATAGTGCCATGCTTAAACCCTAATCTTGCATCTATGTTGCCATAAGCAAACTTTCTCCTGTGATAGAAAGATGGTTTTGTATCCTTTGTTGAAGAACAGCAGGGAGCTAAATGTATTTCTTTAATTGACTTTAACCTAAGCAAGACAGTAAAGCCACTAAGACACAAGGTGTTACTGGGTATGAAATAATTAGAAAACAGAAACATTATCATGGCACGAGAACAATAGAAGAGCAATCAGGAAGACAGTAGATAATGAGAAAAACTGCTATAAGCTAGAAGGGATAGGAAGTTGTCGAGGGCTATGATCGCCTACGTCCTAGTCGGACATAGAAAAATTATAGATAATATTGCTTTTTCAGGACCGTCACCAGAGTGTTTTTGACTCTTTAAGTGTGTTTGTGTGTGGTTGGGTCTTTACTTTTGGTTGGGAGGTGAATAAATTTGTACACTAGAATTAGTTCACATCATTTTCAAAAAGAGGTACAAAAAATGATTTTTTGAACATCATCCCCTTGTTGAGGGAGCTAGGAATCATAATTAACATCAAGATCAAATATCAGTTTAGCGCGGGCAGGCGATGTTTTTCGGAACCTCAAATGAACTCAACTTTTCCTATTGCAGCATAAAGTGTTTTTGACTTTTAATGATTATCTTTTATGCATGTGTAATTACTGACAGGTCTCACTCACAAAATGTTTTTTTCGTTGTTTTTATTTGTCTGTGTGTAGGGAGGGTTCTTTATCGTGTCCTAAGAACTGTGGAAAAAAGAGTGGATTGTCATGGCGCATGGGTTAGCAGTCGGTCGGTAGGCCCTGTTCATTAGCATATTGTAGCAAATAAGGCGTACCTCACAAAACTATAGCCTTGTGCCCGGATGTAGTGGCAAGAGCGTTTGCTCCGTGTTATAAAAAAAGACTCAATTGTTAACAAAAGGAGCACATATTACTAAGCCACTGGGAGAAGAAATAGGCTGGTACCAACCAATGTTACAAGGACGGCGACTATCCTCCAAGCTTCTCTGCTAGATAGTTACAACTATGATACATACGTTTCAATTATTGTTAGATCCTTGACAGGTGTTGAGGTCGCGAAACCAAGGCAGTATTGTGGAATCTTCCACAACAAGCCAGTTAACCCCTGCTAGCAAATGCACTATTCCTGTTGTAATTTTCACCATCACCATCTTACAAATATATAACAAGCATTCATTGGTTAATCACCTTCAATCTAGCTTGCTGATTGGTCAGTTCCGACCAATCAAACCGCCTGTATGCAACAAATCTGTTTTCCCGCGTTCTCCATTTGAGCATGTCACGTGGTACAACAAAATTATAAAAACAGAACACGTGTGTTGCGGACTGGTGATTGTGTTTAAATTGATCAGAAGGAATTTCGAGGCCGTGTTCTAAAACATTCGTCCACAACAATTATTTAGAACAAATATTTGGAACAAATCATGCAAATAAAGTTGAAAACAAGACAAAGGTTGAATGCATAACAATAACATCAATTTATATACAATTTATACAAATATTCAAAGTTGTTCAAAGTTGCGTACCTTTATCTGCTTGAGAAAAATAGATTGTTAGTTACTGATACTTGTTATGTAGTGAGAAATATCACTTTGAAAGTATAGTAAGTGAAGTTTGAGAAATGTTCTAGAGAGATAGAAGTGTGCCCGAAGGTTGCTGAGTCAGAGAATATTTTTTACGCGGAAAAGTCAGAGTTTTGATTGGCGTGGAGTTGATGGGCATCTCTCTAGGTGTGGAGGTCTGACTTTCTAAAGTTGGTAATTGTCTTTAACGTCTGGTCAGCAATGACTAAGACGGGAGTCGGGTGAAGGTTACATCTTGAAACTTAGTAACTACTACTCGAAAAGGTTCACACGTGTTCGGTTTTTTTTATAATGGCTGAGTGGCTCCCAGTATATGAGCGGGAAAACAGATTGGTCGCGCGTGCAGGCGGTTTGATTGGTCGGAACTGACCAATCAGCAAGCCAGATTGGAGGTGATTGACCAATGAATACTTGTTATATTGTCTGAAAGTAGAATTTGGCTTACCAGATAGGAAGAGTGCATTTCCTACAAAGAGGTAAGGCTGGTTGTGTTGTGGGAGATTCTCACTCGTGTCTCATTCCTTGCTACCAAGTACCAAGATGTAATCTTCAAGAACTCCCGTCTTAACCTTTGTGGTCAGACGTTAAAGACCATTATCAACATTCACGCAAGTACGAACTCTGAAATCTCTTCTGAACTTTTACCAACTTGTACAATACACAATTCCAAACATGCTAAAGAAACTTAATTCTTCCTAGACTACAGTTTAATAATTACTTTCACTTTATGAACTTAGGTACAAATATTACCTAATCTAAGAGACACAACTCTGTATAATATTTTCACTCAGTATTCATGCATGTATATCAAACACTAATAAATTCAATTGTTACGTTTTGAAACAAGATGTTTTTGAATCTTTATTCTCTGTCTTGTATTAATTGTTGTGGATAGAAGATTATTGAACACACAATTTTAAACCTTCTGATAATTCAAATCTTCTATTCCTCTCCAACACACACCACACATCCGCAACAGTATTTTCGCAAAACACTGCCGGTGGAACCGACTCGACTGCTTTTCTTGATCTGGACCCCACTCCGCGTCGAGAAGAAACGCAACTTTCTCGTTAGAACTTTAAACTTTTTTTGTAATTATAATTGTCTCTCTACACCACAACAATAATCCACGTGACAGTACGAGTGTATGTTGTCTAGGCTGTTTTCACAGCCTGATTAAAAGAAATTATTTCAAAATTTGATGTTAATAAATGTTTATAAATTATAACATTAACTTTTCCTTACTCATAATATCACTAGCGCAGGCAATATTGTAGTTTTTAATACAACTTTTAAAATGATATTTTTAACGTTCCTTCAATATTGCGGTGTTCTATTTTTAAAGAGGCGATAATATTCGTTTGTCACCGGTAGCAATATTATCGCCCAGCACAGAAATGGGGAAGGCGAATACACAATTATTAGCAAAAGTTCGATCGGAAATAATCAATGGAGATGCTTTGAGATTGTTCCAGGAAGAATATTTTGCATTAGATATCATTCGGGTTTGTTATAATTTTCTATTTTGTTCAATCTCTCTCTGCTTTATCACTGGTTTAATGTTTTCGAGGTAGCATTTTCCATTTTTGTCTCGTCTGCTACTTATGTTGTTAAACTTACGTTCATTTATTTTGTTGTTTTAAATTTAATAATTCATAAAACCTGATAAAGATGTTATATTTAGCCTTTTTTAAATGAAAAATATGGAACTATTATTGTTTTTTAGAAGTTTATCATGAAATAAACGAAGATTAAAATTAGTAATAGCATTTTTTAAATAATAAAAAAAAAAGTTTGTTTTTTTTAATTTTTAAGGGGACCAAACTAATGTTGTTATTTAATAAAAATTAAAAATTATTTATTATAGTTTTCATTTAAAACCTGAAAGAAAACCTTTCATATACATTTTCTACTATAATTTTGTTATTGTACGTAATGAAAGTAGTGAAAGTTTACTAATCACAGCCATTCAAACTTGCAATTATTTTCCTCCTGATTTCTATTGTCTTCCCAAGTAATCAAATTCATTTAAAATTTAATTAAGCAATCTGGTGGTTTACACTGTTATTCAAGCTTTTAAAATATATTTTATTTTATTTTTATTAATAATATCTAGCGAGTTTTTTACCATTCACACCACACCCCAAAACACAGGCCATTATTAATTATTGTTGACATTTTTTTAAAATGATTTTTTATTTGTGACATTTCCGATTGAAAAGAAAATGCAACTTTGTACGTTAATTTTATGAGGGAAAGGAAAAAAAAAAAATCATTGATTTTTTTTTTTAAACTTCAAAACAAATTTCAGATTCCGAAAAACTATTTATTTTTTTTTTTTTTTAGATTACTTTACCTAGCCTCCTATTCTGATCGCATTTAAAAAATAAAATAAAATTATTGGTATTCTTCAATGCATAGGTATAAATAACAAAATGATAAAAGAGAAATATTAGGATTCCACAAAGTCAAAATATCTCATAAATTCAAGTAATTCCTGCAGTATCCGGATTATTTTCTTTTGTGTGTTTATTAATTTTAAATATAGTAACTAAATTACGAATTTTAGTTACACTGTATTTTTCGGATACTAAACATTTCTTAATTGAGATTTTTTTTCTATTTTTCTGTTCCATACTTTTTTTCTTTTTTTTTTTAAAAAAAGAAATAAACAAGAAAAAAATCTACCCCGTCATCATAAAGGCACGTGCATTGTTTTTTTTATATATAAATTCTAAGTTTTATTGGCTACGTATTGATTGAGTGAGTTATATTTTTCATTTTTTATTAATGGAAAAAAAATGTATAATTTGAATATGAGGCTAGGTAATGAAATCAGGGAATTTTAATTCAGCATTTGGGTATTCGGAAATTGCTTCTGACGTTAAAATCTAGGATTTCTTTTGTTTTACTATTTTGCTGAGTTGTTTATGCTGTAAAATTCCAAGGTTCACACATGTTGGCATTTTTTGTTTGTTTGTGCCACTGTCATGTGATCTTCTTTGCTGTGACTGTATTTATCATTTTTTTTTGGTGCTTCAATAGGAGACATTGTATGTCTGTGTTTAAAGTGTGTAGTAATCTGTTTTCAAATGTACGTTAATTTTTAAATGCCAAAAACTAAAACATTTCTGATTTGAGTGTAAAAGATGAAAATCCTCCGTCAAATGGTGAAAAATAAAAGCTACAAATATATCTAAGGGAGATAATTAGTACACATTTAAAATATATAAGTGAGCTTACGAGGCGACAGGGCACCCAATGAGGATTGAATTCACAGCTGTATTTTATATATAAAGTAAAACCAAAGAAACGAAAATTTTTGCAGAAAGTGCTTTCTTCTGGGAACAACATACATGCAGCACCTTCATCTTAATAGTTTCCCTCCACACATAGTCACAAATTTAACTTGAGTTGTGATTTTATTTTAAAAGAATAGTGGGTGCCTTCAAGCATACCTGGGAAAACAGTGTTGTGATATAGCATAGAATCAGTAGGAACTCCTATTTCTGGCAATGCAAGAATTTCAGGCTAGTGTTTGGAAAGAGAGAATAACTATTTTGGTCATCTCCACTCTCCAATTCGCACATTAGACATTATATCTGTGATATACTAACACTATAAAATAACAAAAGGACCAGAATAGCTGAAAGAAATGAATTCCAAAAATTATTCAAAAAGATTTTTTTTTTTTTTTTTTTTTTTTTAAGCATTATGCCACTAGGATGCAGGGGGTTGTGGAAGATTTGGAGCGAGAGCAGATAGGAGTGATAGAAGAAAGGATGAGGAGAAGGATAGTGGGTAGATTAAGGCAACTGGAGATGTCGATTGACATTACATTTGAATAGTTGGAGATTATAGCTTTCAGGGAAACAGTAATTGGGGAGGGTGTTCCACTGGCGAGAGGTGCGAGGTATGAAGCTATTGGAGTAGAAGAGACGGTTACATTTGAAAGTTTCTATGGTGTAAGGGTGGGAGCAGGATGCCAGCCTCGTAGGGCGCTTGAATTCATGGAGTCTGGGAACCAGAGAAAGCAGCTCGTCAGAGCAGTTACCATGGAAGTATTTGTAGAAAAGACAGAGAGAGGTGACGGCGCATCTGTGAAAGAGTGACTGCAGACGAGACGCTAGATCAGGGCCAATTAGATTACATATCCGTCTCTGGATCTTGTCAAGAACTCCGAGGTAACCAGTAGGTGCCCCAGCCCATATATGGCAGCAATACTCCATGCAAGGGCGAATGGTTGTTTTGTATATTTGAAGTATCGATTCAGGGGAAAAATTTCCTGGCGCTGGCACAGAGAGCCAACTTTCCTCATGTGGAAGAAGCAATTGACTCAATGTATTTGTTCCATCTCAGGTCAGCAGTCAACGTGAGACCGAGCAGGCGCAGGGAGTTGCTCTCAGGAAGTTGACTATCAGACATTTTAATGGGGGCAGGGAAGGATCTCTATGGTGGTTAATGGAGAGTAGTTTAGTTTTTTTGTGGCGTTAAAGTTGACCAGCCAATTCTTGCCCCAGTTAACAACCGATTGGAGGTCCATTTCAAGATGCACGGCCAGGTTAGTTTTGTCGCCGACACTAGATTTGTTTTTGAGGCAGGAGTAAATTGTAGTGTCGTCTGCATAGATGCCAACTTGGGAATCTACAGCGTCAGGAAGGTCATTGATGAAAATAAGGAAAGAGTGGGGCCAAGGATGGAGCCTTGGGGAACACCTGCGTTCGTGGGATAGGAACTGGAGGAGAATCCGTTGAGAACGACCTTCAATTCTCGGTTTGACAAGAATGATTGTATTAGATCAAACAGTTGACCAGTAACACCATACCCCTGGAGCTTATGAAGAAAGGCGTGCCAAACCCTATCGAATGCTTTGAGATGTCGAGGCCACGGCACGAGTCTCACCGTTATTTTGAAGGGCTTGGTAGAGCGGTTTCAGTGATGGCCGAAGCACATCAGCTGTAGATCGGGCGAGCGGAAACCATATTGCTTGTCTGAGAGCAGATTATGAGATGTAAGGTGATTAACCACTTTGGCATTGATTAGGGCTTCAAGACTTTGCCAAGAGGGGTAGGAGACTAATGGGACGGTAATTAGAGGGGTCAGAGGGGTCTCCAGAGTTCTTAAACACAGGAACAATGGATGAGGACTTCCAGCAGTCAGGAAAACAGGATTCCTTGAGGCAGTAATTATACAGTTTAGAGAGGGCGGTTGCTAGCTCAGGCGCATTTCTTCAGGACAATGGCTGGTATGCCATCTCCACCACTAGCCTTTGGGGGGTCTAAGTTGGAGATAATGCCTAGTACCAATGACGGGGTTATGTGTAAGCCGCTCAGTAAGGCCTCAATTCTAGGAGGGAAGTCTGGTATGGGTACACCGGTGAGTCGGCGTTGAATTAAATGAGAATTTCCGAGCAAAGCATTCAGCCTTGTCGGTAGAGGAGGTCAAGACCTCGAACTGGTTGAATAAAGGAGGTATGGAGGGTTTTCTATTGTTCAGGACACTCTTGCAGACCCGCCAATAATCTTTGGAGCCAAATTTGCGAGATGCAACACGTTTCTTCATCCGAGCAGCAAATATTGACTTAGCTTCGTTGAGGACACGCTTACACTTATTACGGGCAGAGGCAAAGAGACGTCTATTGCAGTCCGACATATCGCTAGAAAATCGGTGAAAGAAGTGATTCCTATGGGCAATGGCAGATAAGCAAGCAGCGGAGAACCAAGGGGAGGAGTGCGACTTGACCTTAAATTTCCTTGAGGGGATGAAAGCGTCGATTCCAGCTTTAAACCCAGGATGAGACCTCAGAAGCACATTCTTGGGCAGGGAGTGTAAAGACAACATCCCAGGGGACATCGCGGAGGAAGTCACGGAACAAGTCCCAATCCGCTCGTTGATAGTAGAACGAGGATGGGAGGTTCTTTGCGGGGTGTGGAGTTGAAGGAAATGTTGACAGATACCACGGCGTGATCAGAGTTGCCAAGCGGGCAGAGCTGTGTGGCGCTACAAGATTCGGGGATGGAAGTAAAACACAGATCGAGAAGAGAGGCCTTACCTGCCAGGTCGAGGGCAAAACGCGTGAGGGATTGAGAAATTGAGAAGTTAAATGTTTGAATGCCATCCCGGTCAGTAGTAGCATTCTTGAGCCACTTGGTGTGATGGGCGTTAAAGTCACCAAACATGAATATATGAGCAAACGGGTGGAGAGAGAGGGCCTTGTCTATGCTGTCAGATATGCTATCGAGTATCCCACAGTCTTGAGAGGATGGGGAGCGATATAGGAAGAAGAGATAGCTTACGGCATTGAGGAGAGATAGTCTGAGACACATGTACGAAACGTCTGGCGATTCAAGAGACAACTCTCTGGCCAGGGGGAGATGGTCCTTGACATAGACACCAAGGCCGTGCATGTGGGTTAGAGAGTCTTTCCTGAGGAGAGGAAGGTAGCCGGGGATTGAGAGATCAGAGGAGGGAATAGATGAGATAAGGTTTGTCTCACACAGAGCCA